CTAAAAAACCTGGCCAGTTTTTTGCAACTAAATATTATTTCTGTGGTCAGTAATCGAGTGGATCGCTCCCGCTTCCTGACTAAACCTGCAATATATCAATAAAACTAGTTGAAAGTTATTATTTTTTTTTTGACACCTAACAACTAAATATTTTACTTGATTATTGCTTCAATTAATACAATTACTTTTAATTGATTATTCCTCATGCTTAACTAAAAAAGTAATTTTAACTTTACATTTACTTTAATTTTAACCGTTAAAAGTTGTTAAATACTAACATGAAAATATTTCAAATTTCAGTTTGAGTACGAATGGATCAAAAATCTAATCAGAGAGAACTAAGTGACTAATTGTTGGATTTGTCAAATCAAAAAAACATAGCAATGCTGAAATAAGCAAACTTAAGGATATTTATAAACTTAGCATACAAAAAACAATGAAAACTAAAGAGCAATGTATGCCTCATTCTGGAAGACCAGCAAAGTTTAGTGACAGTGACAAAAGTAGCATATTCAGAACCAGCGAACAAATCTTTTGAAACTAAAAAGCAATCTGCCCCAAATGCAATGGAAACACCATGCTGATGCAGATAAAACCTGAAACAAATTCTAAGCTCAGCAGCAAAAAATATTCAACCACCCCTTTGTAATGGAAAAAAAACACAGAAATGATTAATTATAGGTAATCCTTTGATTAAACTTTGTATATAGCTATATAACAATTATGCACTTTTTTTATTCATAAACATTTTAAATGCTTTTAAGTCCATTTTTATTAATAAGGGGCCATTGCATAATTACATAATGATGGAGAGTGGGTGGGTAGGTTCCTTGAAAGTGTGACAAAAAGTGACATGGGTAGGTGGGTGAGTTGAGACAAAAGTGACATTATGCTATTTTCATTTTATAATAGACCACCTAGACCAAAAGAATACTGACTGCAGTCAGTGACTGCAACAATCACAAGCCACATGAAGTCACGTAAAAATGCATTGTAGCATTTTCTAAAATAGAATGACATTTTTTTTACTATAATTATTCTTAAATTATTTATTCATAATAAAATATAAATATGTTTTGTTGTATATCCGTATAATATTAAAATTCAAACATCATGATCATTTATTGTATAGATAAAGGTTTCGTATAGATAAAAGTTTTTCAAAGATTCTCAAAAAAAAGAAAAAAAAAATCAAATGAAATTCCATTTAAAAAACCATGCAGAAATTAAATGCTCATTTAAACTGTTCTCTTTTGTAGATTTCGTTTTAACTTTGTGTTATATTAAAATGATACGTAAGTGAAAAATTCGGAAATATATATCGAATTTAAATAAAATAATTTTCTTGCCAAAAAGTAACTCTGTAATGGTTTTATGGCTTTTAGTGTAGTATTATATTATAAACTAGTTTTTAATAATAAAAAAATATTTTTACGTGTTTATAAGGTTATATAAATATGGTTAAATGCATAATTGTTAATGTATTTATAATGTTAATTTTTGAGGTTTGTAGTTTGGTAGAAACTGTTGTTCGTTATATAATTCATTTTTGTATTTCTTGCCAAAAACTAACAATTTTTAATGATTTTATGTCCATAAACATGTTCAAGAAAAATAAATTAAATAATATACCAGATCTTTACCAAGATCTATTGAAAAATCAAAGAACAACCAACTGACGCAGACTTTATGGAACAAAGGCGCAGACTTTATGGAACAAATTAGAATTGGAACCATCTTCATGTCAAACGAAATTAAATGAGTTAAAAATGGTTGTAGCAAAACGAAAAGCAAAAAATCTGAGCTATTGGACAAACATTCCAGCAAAGAAAGCAATGCAGGAGGTTGGATTTATGTCTGTTGAAATCTGCTGGTGAACCGTTATTGTCTACAATAATAAACAAAAAAGAAAATCACCACCAATGAATTACAGGCTTTCACAGGAAGGCGTGATCACGCAAATTACATTTTGCTATGACGATTTGACCGCGGCTAATTCAAAAAACATCTTAAAAACACGCTAAATGAAAAATATTCTGAAAAAGTGAAATTAATTAAATCAAAACTTCTTAACAAATGTTTTTATATTAGTGAAACGCTTTTAAATAAAGTAACAATTTACTAATAATGGTTTTTTTAATTAAATATAATTGACAGTTTTATATATTTTTTAAATTTATAATATATAAGTTGTTTAAGTGTGCATTTCTATAATAAATGTTATAAAAAAAAAAAAAAATTGTTTTGTTTTTATAAACGATGACATTCTACGAATACAAAAGTCCTTTAACGATTTTTAATTAAAGTTAATACATTTAAAAAGATAAAAAAAAATTTGTTGAAAAAAAAAAGTTTTAGAAAGCCGTTACAATTAAATAAGTTTGATCTTAAATGCTTTTATATTATCGAAACACTTTTCAATGAAGTAACAAAACACTTCTAATTAATTTTTAAAATAAGTATTAAACTTTTTTTTTTAATTTATATAATTATGCATTTTTTATGAGAAATGTTTATCTTTTGAAACATATTAAATAAAAAAAAAAAAGTACAAATGTTAAAACAAGGATTGAAATGGTTTTTTGATGCGTAAATTATATAGACTAAGTTTGATGAGTTTTGTTTTAGTTGGGTTATGTATATATATATTTTTTTTGTGTTTTTGCTTTAACTAAGTATTTTTTTTATTTTCTTTTTTGTTAAGATTTTTTGTTTTTTTTACAATTTTTTTTTTTTTTTAGAAAAGTTTAGGTAAGTTTTTGTAACGCATTTTTAAATTTTGAAAATATGCTAAAAGCTATGGTCAAATCGTTAAAACATGTTATATTTTGCGTGGTCATATAAAGACGTGCGACCACACGCCTTCCTGTGAAAGCTTGAATTAACTATAAATGAGTTTGAAAAACAAAATGTATTGAAAGATAAAGAATGCCATACACCAGCAGAAATCAGAGAACAAAAACATTTGGATGAAGTAAATGCAAACATATCTTTGCTTGTATTGAAGCAACTGAAAGGTTTAGGTGATTCAGAAGCTGTAGGAAAAGAATTAACAACTAGAAAAAATTCAACAAGCTATTCAACAACTAGAATATTCAACAAGCTATTCAAACTCTTCGACTTAAAAATTGTCAAGCACAAAAACTTTGCCTGAATAAAAAATACAAAAGTTATACGAAGCTGCAGGTAACACATTACTTGAAAAATCAGGGCACCCAAGAAAGGAGCAGAACTATCCAGATCTTTTTAATGTGATTTGGGAACTCGTTTATTTTAATGAAGCTAGAGTTTATACTTGACATCGATCTGAATTATTGGAATGTCCAAAAACTTTAGATGATCTGACAACAATGATCAATACCACTGTTCTGGAAAGCACGATTCATCAAATGCCTACAGTCATGGCACAGACATACGCCACATAATTAATGATAAACAATTTGATAATTTTGTCAAATCACAATTCAAAAAAATTAAACCATTTTGGGTGTCACGGTCAGATGGAGAACCAGACGAGAATGCATGGTATCTAAAAGTTATTAAAGAGGCGATTAATGTCTTCCTGGAATATAATCTTGACATGTATATAGTTGTTATTACTCCAAGAGGCTACAGTGCATATAATCCATGTGAACGCAGAATGGCTCCCCTATCCCATGTTTGTGGATTGGTCCTTGATCACAAACAATTGGGTTCATATATCGGTGCAAATGGAAAAATAATTGATGAAGAATTGAAAGAAAAAAAATTTCTTTTACGCCATGAATGTTTTAGCATTAATATGGAGTAAAACAGTGATCAACAGTGATCAACTAAACAGGTTTTTACCATGTCCTTGAGTTTTTGAACACACCAAATTTGAGATTAATGCATTGCCTCCAAAGATTCGAATACCAATTAAAAGATTCTAATTCCAATACTTCCTTTTTACCATCTGTCCATGCTTCTGCTTTTCAAGAAATTCACCCAGATGTTAAAATCAAGTCAAACTTAGACAGCCATACCCATTTGATTTGTATTATCTAGTCTCCTTTGCGGATTTGAAAAAGAGACAATATCAAGTTTGTGGCTTAAATATTCCAACTGTTGTAGCCAAAGTCAAATCATTATCGCAAATGTCGCAGACAAAAAATGAATAACACCGTATTTGTCGGAGTAGTCAAACTTGCAGATTTTGGCGAAAGTTCAGAAAAACACATCTGCTCACCTGCTTGTGTGAACCAGAAACCGCAGTTTGAACTGTTTAAATCTTTTTTAGTTTTACTTTCGGAACAGCCTGGTAATTCTCAATGGATTACTGATTTGGAAGAACCAATTATTTAAAGCAATTTTACTTGGTTAAAATTTTGTAAATAATTTAAACAGACTTTTTTATTATAAGCATTTAATTAGAGTGTTAGAAAAAAAAATTTAAATCATAAAGTTTTATCTTGTTTATATATTTTTATGTTCCAGAGTTATATCCTTTGAGGATCGTTTTAATCCAAAACATTTTCATTATAGTTGTTTAATTTCTTACAGTGTCACTACTAGAGGATAAAAAAAATGGATTTGATAATATAAGTTAACATGTACAGCTGAAGTGGAAGTGGGTGGGTCTAGGTAAATGTGACCAAACATGACAAAGTGGGTGGTTCAAAAATAGCTATTTTTAGCATTACATAATTAAGCAATGACCTCTAATGTACTTTCTAAGCTTTAGACAGGTAGTAAATTTATAATCGTACTTATCTTTACTATTACTTTTATTTGTATTCATGTACCACCTCGTACCATAAGTAAAAATACAAGAAAATACATTAGAGAAAAATTAAAAGAATTTTTTTAAACTTATTGTAAACCTATAATTCTGATTTAAGATTGAAAATGAATTTAAAATATTGTCTATTACTTTTAATTTTCATAAAGTTTTTTCAAAGCAATAATAGTTTAGTATAATGAAGTTAGAAAAACAAAAACTTTAAAATTTACTTTGTTAAAGTATTATTAAAAATTCATACCTCTTCTAAGCTAAAAAGTACTCCCCCCACAGGTGCACCAAATGCAACTGAAACACCTGCTGCTGCTGCTGCAGATAAAACCTGATAAGTAATAAAAAAATAATAAGTTATTTTATATCTATATTCATAATTTAATTACTTTAAAGTTAAAAAAAAAAACAAATGACTAAATATATACAATAAATGAATTAAATTACAAGCTCAGGAAATACTAAAATTTACTGCTTTTTTATTAAACAGAAAATATTTGTGGATGTCAGAGTGACAACTAATTTGTTTTAAAACAAAGAGCTGATAACAAAATGCAACAATTTGTAGTGTTAAACAATAAGTCAAAAAGTTTTTATCATTACTAAAATACATTTGAGGCGTCAAAATAACAGATTAACCAGCTACTTTTAGAAAAAATAATTCTTTGATCACAGGATGAAAAACGACACATTGCTGACAAGAATTGCACACAAAAAAAATTTTTTTTTAAATTTTTTTATTTGCATTCACTCCCAACAAGGCTGCAAGCAACCACTATTAAGTTGGAAGTTACTAGGAAAAAAAAGAACAGAGTTATAGAGCAAGGAAACGGTTGACAGAAGACTTGAAAAGTTGAAGGTTGTATGAGTCAGGAAAACATGAAGATGGGAAAGAGTTCCAAAGGAAAAAACTAGACGAATAAAAGTTTTTAGAGCATGCACGGACAGATACAGTAAACAAATGAGACTTAGCTGAATGACGAGTAAAACGAGAATGAATTTTAGTTGATGGAACTAGAGATGATAACTCCTTTGAGCAGTGACCATGATAGAATTTGTAGAAAAGAAAAAGAGATGCAACTTTACGACGATGAGAAAGAGGCTCAAGCTTAGCAGATGGTCCAGGTCCAACAACATTTACAATGCGTTTTTGGACCTTGTCAAGAAGAAAAAGTGAATCGTTAGAAGAACCAGCCCAAATATGACAACAGAATTCCATACAGGGACGAATAAGAGATTTGTAGAGGTAGAGAATGGAATCAAAAGTAAGGAAATGGCGAGCACGATAAAGAGAAGCAACCTTAGCAGAAGCTAGAAGAATTTAGCAATCGATTGTACATATGGTTTCCATGAAAGGTCAGTAGTAAGGGATAATCCAAGAAGACGTAAAGAGGAGGATTCAGTAAGAGGATTGCCATTCATTAATATAGGAATGTTGACCATATTACGGTAGTTGTTTGCAGTAAACAACTGGGTTTTGTTAGAGTTGAAATTCACAAGCCACTGTGAACCCCAATCTATTACTGAAGTGAGATCGGATTCAAGATCAGCTGCTTGTTCTAGGCAATTGAAAAGAGAAGACTTTTTGTCAAGACAGGAGTATAAAGTTAGTTAAAGAGCTACTTTAGATGAAAGGTTGTAAGGAAGATCGTTTATGTAGATAAGAAACAAAACAGGGCCCAGGATGGAACCTTGGGGAACCCCAGAAGTTACTGGAAATAAAAAAGAGTGTTGGCCTTCAAGGATGACTTTAATAAACCAATTAGAAAGAAATGATTTGATAATCTCAAAAACTTTCACAGAAACACCATATGAAGCAAGCTTATGAAGAAGACCAGCATGCCAAACTTTGTCGAAAGCTTTAGATATGTTGAGAGCAATAGCCCTAGCCTCACCTCCTCCGTCTAATGCATGATAAAATTTTTCAGCAATCGGCAAGTTGGCCGTAGAGCGAGAGGATCGAAAACCGTATTGATTGTCTGACAGTAGTTTATTTAACTTAAGATGAGATGTGAGGAATTTGTTGATCAAAGACTCAAAGACCTTGCTAATAGCAGAAAGAAGACTGATCGGACGATAATTGGAGGGGTCAGAATTTTCTCCAAAGTTTTTGAATATTTGAACCACAGATGCCATTTTCCAACAGGCAGGAAAACAAGACTCAGTCAAACACTTGTTAAATAGTTTAGAGAGAATTGAAGAAAGTTCTGGAGAACAATTCTGCAAGACTGTGACAGGAATGTTGTCTGGACCACAAGCTGTAGACAAGTTTAATTGAGATATGACTTTAGCAACAGAAGCTGGAGTGTTTTGAATGTCCAACAATGGGTCAACCTGTTTGACTGGAACAACAAGATAGAACTATTTCATGAGTATTAAAGATTATTTTTATTAAACAAGTTAAAGTAATAAAATTAAATAACCAAAAACAACAAATTTTTTTGATTAGTAAAAGAAACATAATTTTGACACCATAACAATCTTTAGTTTGAACTTAAATAGCAAGTTAACATTTATTTGACAGTCCAAATAATAGGAAATACTTCAAGTTTATAATTATTAGATTAAACACTTGAAATTTTAAGCAAAATAAAATAGCTTTAGCTTTAAAAGTTTATATAATTAAAACATTTTTAAAGCAATTTAATAAAGAAAAAAAAAAAAGAAAAAAAGCAAATCCTAAATAAAATAACTAAAATAAAAACAGCAAAAAAAAAAAATTTTTAAATTAAAATTGAATATTTTACAAATTTTATTATTATTGTATAATTTTTATCGAAATCATAAGGTTTTTATTAAGAGCTTATTCTTTAATACTTATAAAATAGTTCTATCTTGTTATTTGACTTAAATATATTAATATGAGCCACACATTGCATAAACAAAACATGAGTCACACAATACATTGCATAAACAAAAAGTGTTATACTTATAAAAATTTATTAATTTGATTGTCTGAAAAATGATTTAAACGTAAACTTTTTAATTTTCTAATCTTTAATTAGTTATTTTGAGCACTGCATTTGAAAAGTAAATAATATAAAAATCTGCTTTAGTAACTAACTTTGTAAAACTGTTTATACTTACTTCTCTTCTCTTTGCTTCATTCCCATAATACTTTGGAAAGAGTCTTACAATAACATTTCCAATACATGCACCAACATGTACCATTGGCCCTTCTTGTCCTAATTTAAGTCCAGTAGAAACTGATAAAATTAATGTTACACTTTTAATAATCAAGGTCCACCATCCAAGAAACCCTTTTATTACAAATCCTCCTAAAATTGTTTTTACCTAAAAAATAGGTTTTGCATAAAAATATGTTGTCGGAATTTTAAAATAAATTCAAATTTATTTTGAAATTACCTCTGCAATACCGGAGCCACTTGCATATGGTGCAAAGAATTTTACAAGAAAGACTGCAAGCGATGCATATAAGAGTGCAAAAAAAGTATAGCTAAAGTAATTGCAGGCATAAGGTTTTTTGGCTCCAAATATTTCTGACCATGTTAGCCAATCTTTGCAACCATCTTCACCAAATGGGTCAACTGAACTCCAACAGCAAGTTTCTTTGTTGAACCAAAAGTTATTTTTACAAACTCCCTCTTTTATATCGTTCATCCAATCTGCGCCTATATCTATCACACCACCTACAAAGCCAGTTGTTATACCAACCAGAAACACAATTAGCCATCCAGAAAAAGCATCATAAAAACCCTAAAAATTAAAATCAAATAAATATCTTTAAAAAATGACAAACATCAGAAGGATTTACAACCAGGATATCTATTTACAAAAATCTTGATATATGGATATCTTTATATATGAGTTAACTTGAAATCTTTATATCAATATAAAAATTTCAAATTATTAATTAAAAAAAAAATTCAAATTATTATAATAAATCTTAATTAAATTTCAATTAATTTTTCATTCAAAAATTTGTTAAATTCAAATATTTGATGTGATAACAAATATTAAATTGTAACATTCATTATGACATCAATCATCAAATTAAAAAAATCCCTATGGCGATAAGTTTTTCGTGGGAACTTCAATGTCAATCCTAAAGATCAAAATAAATCTTATAATTATAGCTTTTTCTGACTACAATGAATGATCAGAGCTCATTTATTTTAGTCTACCATACTCTTTGCTTTTACAAATTGGTACTCATTTAATCTATTTTTGTTTTTATTATATGTTTTTATTGTAACTTTTGTCCTTTAATATTTTTTAATAATATTTTTGATAGATCTACTGTAATTTCGTGTGGATTCTTATACATTTGTCATGGATTCTCATTGAATGCAGATGAGTAAGTTAAAAATTATACTATGTATTACTCACGATGTAGACTTTGTTAGTATTTTTTCTTTAAAAATACTAACAGACACTTAAAAAAAGAAATCATAAAAGAAACATTAAAAAAACCTATATTTATCATTTTGCAATACCAAGAATATTTATTCAGACAATTTCTTATAACAAACAATAGCAAAAATAATTAATGAATTTAAAAAAAAAATTAAAAAACAAAAAATTATTAACTAAAAAAATAGTTAACATTCAATTTTATTTTACATTAATGTCACTTGATATTTTAATTTTTAGTTTGTTTGTTTGTTTTGTTATAATGATTTATTTTATCAACAAAAAAAAAAAAAATGAAAAAACATTATTTACAAATTTTAAACGACATCTTATAAAGCGTTTATTTTTTTATAAGTAAAAAAAAAAAAATTTTATGGATATAACTTTATCATTATTATTTTTTCCTTGAATTTACCTTTGAAGCAATACCTCTTCCAATATCTTCTTTTATATTTATTATATAAGTTTTATTTTTATTATATAATTATATTATATAAGTTTTATATTTATATATAAGTTTTATTTTGCAAAAAAAGTTAAAACAGAAATTTTTCTTATACAGGGTTCCCACTATTAAAACTAAGGCTAAAATTAAGGATTTTAAGAAGATTTAAGGAGATATTTTCCTAATATTTAAGGAGATTTGGTCGCGAACGATATTTTTTCGAAAGAAAAAGTAAGGATAATTAAGGAGAAAACGATTACAATAAAAACATAATATAATTTTTTTCAATAAATTTTAAATGTAAATAGAGAAATTATTATTATTATCATTATTATATATATATATATATATATATATATATATATATATATATATATATATATATATATATATATATATATATATATATATAATATTTAAATCTAAAAAAATTAGATTTTTTTCTCAATTTTTTTTCCTCCTTTTCTATTATTCACAAAAAATTAAATTCCTTTTAAACATGTTAACTTATAATGCTACATCAAAAATATTCATAAAGTGTATGTTTAAATTTTTTGCCTTATAGCAAGTGAAAGAACAACTTTTTATCAATCTTAACAAAAATTAAGATGAAAAAAAGTTGAAAGCCATAATCGCAAAGAAATGATTTATGAAAATAAAAAAATTCTATTATTCTTTCTCAATCATCATTAAATTAAGTTAAAAATTAAGTTGAATTTTTAAAACATTTTTTTGTAATTCATTATACTAAGGGATCTTTGTTATACTAAAAGATCTTCCATAAACTATACAACGTTAAATTTCACTAAAAAAACATAGCAAAAAAGATCAGAAGTTTTCCTTTGCAGAGCTTTAAGTTTAACGAAAAAATCAAAATAGATCTTAGATAAGTTTTTATATAATTAAATCAATTTAAAACATCTGTTTGTAGTATATAAACTCATCTTTATAAAATTCTTTATAATAAAATACTTATAGGAGTTATATATACCCTAGTTATTGGAGTAATATAAAAAACCTATTAAAAAACAAACAAATAATAAAACTTCAATGTAATGTGGTCTTGCGTCTTAAGAAAAATATTAGAAACCTTATTTTTCTTTATATAAGCAAGAACACATTACATTAAAGTTTTATACTTTGTTTATTTTTTTACCAGTTTTTTTATATTACTTGAATAACGTGGGTATATATAACCCCTTGAAATATTGTGTTATATTATAAAGAATTGTATAAGGATAAGTTTATATTATAAACAGATGTTTTTAATGAAATTTAATGAAAAGTAAAAGAGCTTAAGATTACTTACTATTTTAAAAATTAGTTTATATTTTAGACTTAGACTTTCTTTTTCTTTTCTTTTTAAAAAAAAACTTCCATGTGTGATTAAAAGCATTCTAATAATGTTTTTTCATGTGCATCCTAAGAGTGTTTTTTATGTTTATTTTTTTTTTTGACAAAATTAAAATAACTTTTTTTTACTAATGAAAAACCAAAGAGATTCAGTATTATTAATGATTCAACTGCCCATTCACGTGATATTTTAATATTAAAACTACAGTGCGTAATGTAGTTTTAATATTAAAATATTAAAACTACATTACGCACTGTAAACTACATTACAGTGCGTAATGTAGTTTTAATATTAAAATATTAAAACTACATTACGCACTGTAGTGTATTAATTATTAAATGAAGTGTATACTACTTTAAATGCTTTTTAAAGGTCTCTTTTAAATAATCACAATAAATCTTCATAAATGAAAATAAAATCTTCATAGTTCAACATCATGAGGGTACACCCCTGATATATGTAATTACGTTTATATAAATATGTATTTTTTGATAAATCTTTTCAAACTTTATCTATGATTACTTTTATAAACACTTTTAAAAGCGAAAAACCTTAGCGAAAAACATAATTCAATTATGAATTATGTTTTTTTTATTAACAGTGTTATAAAAAGTACTGGTTTCTATGGAAGCATTGAAAAAAATTATTAGGGTGAAGTTTTTATAAAATAAATTTAAAAGGGATTTTAAAAGCTAAAATATTTTTTGAAATTTATAAAAAAAATGAAATACTGAAATATAAATTTAAATTAATAATTAATTGCAACAAGTTTTTGTTGGAAAAAATTGTAATGGAAAGTAATGGAAAGTAATGAAAAGTAATAAAAATTACTAAGTAATTTTTTCAAAATACTTAAGTAACTTTAGTAATTTTAAGTGATTTTAGTTATTTTCAAAACAATGAACAATTACATCTAATATTACATTTTTGTGTGATATAGTACTATATAGGTATAACAAATCATAACCTAACTAAACTTTAAGATAGAACAGTAAAAACTTATAATTTCTATTAATTTATCACTCAAAGATGTTCTCAAATTTGTAATTAAAAAAAAAAAGTCAAGAGCACTAAAGCATCTTTCTGTAACAATTGATGATGCTAATAAAAACTATGGTACAGTGCAATTTATAAGCATTTTTGGACGGCCATTTGATCCTTTAAATTCAGGCACTTCTTTTTTGATGAAATCAAAAACATTTAAGTAAACCTTGTTTTTTATTAAATAGGAGTTTTGAATAGAAATGGTGAAGTTTTTCAGTCTTATTCATTTTTTGTAAAGATTCAACAAAAAAAGATCCTTTACAAACAAACAAAAAACTTGCAACTAGAATTAGTAATAAGAGATGTTTAAAAATTTTACTGGTAAAAGTCATTGGTAGTAGATAGCCAAAAAGACAAAAGAACATTTGTCTACAAGTTGGGTTATAATACATATGCTGAACCCTTATATTTTGCTTGCACCCCTTTTTTACCTATTAGGCTGGCACAGATGTGTTTATAATATATTGTTTCCACTTTAGGATGTTGAATGCTGGATTTTTTTGATTCAATGCATGGGCCTCGACTCTGTTATGACTAGACAATTCATTCTAATATCATCTGAGAGTACAGCTCTAAAACTAAAGTTCTAAGGCCAGCTGGTAGTTAGGTTTCCTAAACTCTGTGGTAGCTCTCAGAGGCTGATTCCATCAACAGCTGTAAAATATTAGAGTGCTATAATGCGCATGGATGGTGTCCCTATTTGTACTTATAGTTTGCATTGTCGAGGCCTCATTTGGAGCCCTTTGTTACAGCTTAGGGCTTATTAGTAGTAATGGGGAAATTGATTGGACTATTAAATAGGGTACTGAGTACAATCTGTGTTTTAAGTCAAGTTTTTAAACAAATTTAAAAATGACTAAAAGATTAAAAATTATAAAACACAAAAAACTATAGTCATCGCCAATTTCTTTGGATCTATCATTCACTAATATTCATGATTCATGGTCTTTGAAGAAACGTTTCTTCTGTTGAGTCTTATCTTTATCAACATTCACCAGACTTACTTGCTTTTTATGAGACTAACTTGAGTTCAGCTGTCTCATTTTGTGATCTTAGTGTTGATGGTTATCTTCCTTTAAATCAAAAAGACTCCAACAGTCACTTGCTTGACATGGGTATTTACGTTCATAAGAATTCACTTGTTTGTTGAGAAACTAGATTTGAATCCACAGACTATTCTTTTATATGTATTCATTAAGCACCACTTCACTCTATTGCCTTTCTTATTATTCTATATTGTTCTCCTTCATCTCAAGACTGCACTCTTTTCAATGTCAGGCTTGGACAGGAATGGCGTGTGATTGCACTCTGTAACTGACCAAGCTAATATTTTTATTTCTTTACAACTTGACCACGGCATTTTTGATGTTTTAACAATTTGAATGCAATAAAAAAAGTGTTACGTTATAAATTTCTTTTAATCTTTGATCTTTTCTAAAGTTTTTTATTTTAGCAAAGGCTTTAAATAAAACCATAAAATTAATTATAGTTATTGTTTAC